TCATCTCTCAGCTTTTTTTATGTCTTCTACTTACTATTTTTGTCATTGCAAGTTAAGAAAAATTAAAACATTAAATTAGTAGCATTTTTATATTGATCAATACCTGCTTGAAATACAAATATAAGAGATCTAACCCATATGGAGGAACACCAAAATTACACATCAACATTCCATAGCTCATGTGAGCATATGCATACAGTGGAGATGCTGCACCAAATTAAGGGAATTGTCTTTATTTCACCTCCTGATGTATGCACATTCTGTCAACTCTGCTTTCAACTTACCGATGGCTAAGGAAGAACTGAGAAGAAAATATTCTCCCTACCTTTTCCTTTCCTTCTCCATCATAATTTCCAGTGCAAATAAATAATACAGGAAAGTAACAGGAGCAACTTTTGCCTTCTTTCTGTACTTAAAGCAAGTTCCAGTACAGATGGGAAGCAGCGACTCTCCCCACTCAGACTTCGGACCCTCAGACTCTCCTCACTAGTCCTCACCCTGTGCTGGTGTTGGATCTCACAGAACTCTCAGTACTGGTGGCATTCTGTTCTCAGGGGAACATCACATGTGCATGGAATAACAATAACCGCAAATATTTGAATTATATATACATACCCCTCCCACTCATGTTGATTGTTCCACATACTTCTCTTTCAAAATGAAATTCAACAAGAAAAGCATTAAGAAGTTTGAGGCAGTTACAACAGAGCATAAAGCCAAGCACAGGGCCTCTCTCAACTCAGAGCCCCATGTGACAGCACAGGTTGCATGCCCTGGCCCTCTGCAGTTACTAATATCAGTCATTAAAACATGGCTGGGGAAATAGAGCAGGGAGGAAGAGCATGAGAAGAAGATTATCATAAAACAGGGACGAGAGGTGGGAGGGAAAGGGAGAGAGAAGGGAAATTGCATGGAAATGGGAGGAGACCCTCATTGTTATACAAAATTACATATAAGAGGAAGTGAGGGGAAAGGGGAAAAAAACAAGGGAGAGAAATGAATTACAGTAGATGGGGTAGAGAGAGAAGATGGGAGGGGAGGGGAGGGGAGGGGAGGGAAGGGGGGATAGTAGAGGATAGGAAAGGCAGCAGAATACAACAGACACTAGTATGGCAATATGTAAAAACGTGGATGTGTAACCCATGTGATTCTGCAATCTGTATACGAGGTAAAAATGGGAGTTCATAATCCACTTGAATCAAATGTATGAAATATGATATGTCAAGAGCTATGTAATGTTTTGAACAACTAATATTAATAATAATAAACATAGCTGGGGAAACTGGTAAAATAGTATTTTCAGGATCTAGCTTTGAAGGTTCTTGTAAAGGTCGTGTAAAGTAGGTTTGTTTATTTTTTTACACACTCTCTGGTTGATTGAATTGAACTCCCAGGTTTAGGAAACATGGCCCTAGAACAATTACAACCTTTTAAAATACGGTTCACCTCCCAGTCCCCAGCCCTAACAAGTCAACTGCTTTTCTTTCTCTTACCTACTGCCTCACTGAGGGAAGGTCCAGAGTGGAAGGAGTGGTAGAGGAAAGGAAAGCCACCCAACGGGACCATGGCATGGGAAGAGCATGTCTGTTTGATAATCTAATTGACCCTCTGGCTCTCCTCTCCTGCCTCTGGTTCATCCCCACTCCTAAGCTCCGGGGCATGTCTGTAGGAAGGAATGCCTAGAAACTGGAGTTGGGCACTTCTGCAAGACTGCTCCTTTCCTAAGTTTCTTACTTCATAACCCACCCTCTCATCCCACCTGACCCTTTAAGCTAATTTCTTCAGAATCATTGTCAACTTCTCCCTCTTCACCACCTTTTCATCCAAATTGATCTATCCTTTAAATTTTTCCTTCTAAATCACAAAAAAAAAAAAAACACTTGTGCCTTTTTTCTGTCCCCTGTGCCATTGCCTTAATTTCACTAGACCTTTATCATTCCTCTTCTGAGTCACTGGGTGACCGCCGGGTGAGGTTCCTCCTCTGCCTCTATGTTCTTCCCCAACATTACTATGAGATTCTTCAAAATCCAGATCTATCATCGTCCTCCCATTCTAGATCCTTTCATGATTCCACAGAGTCTTAAAACATTTTGATCATTCCTCATAGCATATTCTGCCCTTGAATCGAGCCCTTTCTGCCTATTCAGTTTCTTTTCCTGCCACAGACAGTAAATACCAGATTTCAGCATTTCTTCCTGGTTTTTTAATGCTGCTCCTTCTACTTTGAACAGTGCTCTTCAGCACCCCTCCCTTCCTTATCCATCAGCAAACTATTGCTGTTCGTCGTTTCATAGATTAGCTTGGAAACCAACTCAAAAATCATCTCCTCTGAATTTCCCGATCCTTCTCCCTACCCCATCTTAATGACTGTCCCCACGTCATTTCTACCATGCTTCCCATGGCACTTAAGGAAAAAAGAACAAAAACTCCTGTCTCCCCCTAACCATGCTGTTGAGCACATTGAGCAGGATGTTGCTCCTAGCATGATATAAATTCTCAATACTGGAGGAAGGAGGAGTGATGGCAATACATAAAGGCAAGAATATGACTATAATGAAGCTACTCTTTCTTCATCTTGCTGTTCAGCTGGCAGAATATGGCCCCCCTTCCAACAACCTACACAATATGAAAGGCAATTCAAATCCCCAGCAGAATTTCACAAAAATATCCTGATTCACAACCTGCACAAAAATCTCACAGTTTTCCTTTCCCAGCCCTCTCTCTCAATTTCTTCTCTACCCCAAGAGCTGCCTAAAAAACTGTCTCCAATCTCTAGTAATAGATTTTTGTTTCTGCCTTTCTAACTGCTGTCCTGGATCAATATTTTCCCCTAAGAGTTCTTTTCATTTTAAATATATGACTTGACCAATCTGTTGAAGCATTGTAGGTGGAGAGAGAGGGAGAGAGAGACTTTCTTTTTTTTTCTTTTTGAAAATTAGATCTTTATTTTTTTTATTATTAGTTGTTCAAAACATTACAAAGTTCTTGACATATCATATTTCACACATTTGACTCAAGTGGATTATGAACTCCCATTTTTACCCTATATACATATTGCAGATTCACATTGGTTACACATCTACTTTTTACCTACTGCCATACTAGTGTATGTTGTATTCTGCTGCCTTTCCTATCCTCTACTATCCCCCCCACTCCCCTTCCCTCCCCTCCCCTCCCCTCCCTTCCCATTTTCTCTCCCTACCCTATCTACTGTAATTCATTTCTCTCTCTTGTTTTTTCCCCTTTCCCCTCACTTCCTCTTATATGTAATTTTGTATAACAATGAGGGTCTCCTTCCTTTACCATGCAATTTCCCTTCTCTCTCTCTTTCCCTCCCCCCTCTCGTCCCTGTTTAGTGGTGATCTTCTTCTCATGCTCTTCCTCTCTATTCTGTTCTTAGTTGCTCTCCTTATATCAAAGAAGACATTTGGCATTTATTTTTAAGGGATTGGCTAGCTTCACTTAGCATAATCTGCTCTAGTGCCATCCATTTCCCTGCAAATTCTATGATTTTGTCATTTTTTAGTGCAGAGTAATACTCCAGACTTTCTATACATTCCCAATGGAATTGGTCAGTGGTATGTCACTTCATACAAATGGTCTCATGATGGGTGCATATTTGACTCACCTAGAGAACTTTCAAAACTGCCCAGCACAGCCCCATGGCAGACCTTCAAAAGTAGGTCTTTACAGAAGTAGAGTTCAGGTATATCCAAGTAATATTTCTGTCTTCTGTTTTCCAGTGCCTTAGGAAGCCCACCTCCCTACCCTGTCTAGAAACCCAATCCCTGCAGATACTTCTCTCTAATCAGACTAACAATAGAAGCCATGTCAGCAGACGAGGTATCATCCTTATAGGTACAAAAGTGGGAGACTATACTCAGAAGAAATTTTGTTCGTATCCCTGGACTCATTTTTTCTTCCCCACCTATGCTTAAATATCTTACTTCTATGGGTTCTTATATTCTTCCTGCAAGCAATTTTTGCCTCAATTCCCTGCCTGCAAGCTTTAGTATTGAGGTCTTCTTTTACCCCAGTCAAAAAAAAAAAAAAAAACAATAATTGTGTGACATATTTGGGTCTCTGATCTCTCCTGCCTTGCATTTGCCAATCAACCCAGAGCACTCTAATCTCATGGATCTTGCTGCTCGGATCTTCCTCTAGTGACTGATGTTGGGTTTTACCCAACTACTTTCTTTTTCCTATGGGTCTTCAAGCTGTCTTCCTGAAACTCACTATGCCACATAGTTGACTCTGAACAGAAGGAAGAGAGAGAGAAAAGGGAACACATAAACAACCCAATAACAAGTCATTGGGGCCATGGTCAAAAGCTTTTACAATAGAACAATGATAACATACTCTGAACAATCATGGGAATAAGTGGTTCTGTCTATGCTCAACAAGTCATAGAGAGAATTTAGAAGCTGATACTGTGTTATCTTAGCCTTTTGAATTTTGTTAACTACCAGTATTCTGCTTCATCCTAAAGTTCTCTTTGTTGTAAATCACTTACTGAATTTCATTCAGACAAATAAGGAAATTCTAATATCGTTCATCTCTTAGGTATTGATCATCCCTGGCTTAATTAGAACCCTTCTACCTTCAAAGAAATAAACTATTCATTCTCAGTTTCTGGGGGTGTGAATAATAATAGCCAGTTGCTCACATGCCTGAAAAGCCAATAAGAAACTTCATGTCATCCCAGCAGCTTAGGAGGCTGAGGCAGGAGGATCATGAGTTCAAAGCCAGCCTCAGCAACTTAGCAAGGCCCTAAGCAATGCAATGAAACCTTGTCTCTAAATAAAACATTAAAAATCACTCAGTGGTTAAGTGCCCCTGAGTTCAGTCCCTGGTACCAAAAAGAAAAAAGAAAAATAACTCAATGTCTGTTATAACCATGATGATCTATAATTCAGACCCAGACAATAAAACTGAGCCGAGCTGACTGGACTCCTGAATTACCTCTCAGTGAGTGTTCCTTGTGTATCTTTTCATTCCAGGGCTCAATGGCGATGACTTCCTGGCAGTGGGTCTGCTGAACGGCAGTGTGGTTTACAGTTATAACCTGGGATCTGGCATAGCAAGTGTCAGGAGTGAGCCCCTCGATCTGAGCCTTGGAATCCACACTGTCCATCTGGGGAGATTCTTCCAAACAGGCTGGATGAAGGTAAAGAGACTTCACTTCATCTGTCCCAAAATTTACATGCTGGTGTATTAGTGCTCAGGTGCCAAGGCAGGCAGGACATGATGCCGTCACCTGTGGAGTTTACACTCAGTGCACCAAACAGGAGAGGAGAGATGACCACAATTAGGTGGTGTATGAGTCAGTCAGAGGGATTACTAACATAGGTAAGGCTAAGAAACGGGGTTCAGGAAATGCCTCCCAGAAACGGTGATGCTTGAGCATAACTTTGGATAAACAGAAGGTAGGAAAAAGAATAATAGCCAGTATGAGGTTAAGGAACACAAGCAGTTTTGTGTAGTTCTCAGATCAGGGAGTTGGACAGCAAGAGAGATTCGTGGTAGACAAGGTCTGTATTATCAAGTATGCATATATCAAGCTAGGAAGTTGAGAGTTTTATCCAGAGAGCTGTGGAGAGACACTTAAGATGGTGGGAGGTTTGGGTATCATGATTCATTTCTATTTTTTAACAAATGAGTCCGGTGGATATATTGAAAATGAATGGGGCCAAGGCTAGACGGAAGGGTACCAGCAGGATGCCAGTTCCTAATCTTTGAAGAACTGTGATTTTGATTGAAATCCAAAACCATGACTGCTATATTAATATATCTTTCTTAACAGACACCAGCAGAGAAGCAGAAAATTGAGTAGTTTCATGTTCTTTATTTCTTCAAAATTCTAGTCTTTATAAATTTTTCATGCCAAGTTAATGGGAAATAACAAAAGAATATCTTAACAGTTCACCCTAGGAAATTAATTCACCCTGGGGAATTAATGCCTTTTTTAATAGGTTTTGATTTTTTTTTCCTTTCAAAGGTAGATGACCATAAAAATAAGTCTGTCATCTCCCCAGGAGAACTGGTTGGTCTCAATGTCTTCAGTCAGTTTTATGTAGGTGGTTATAGTGAATACACTCCAGATCTCTTACCAAATGGAGCCGATTTTAAAAATGGTTTTCAAGGTAAGACACGAGCAGTTTTTCTACTATAGCTATTTGTATTGAGTATTAAAAGAAAGAAAATGCTTTTAAAGAATATATGTGCAGTTCACAAACCAGCCATGTGGGTTGTTTTCTAATCAAATTTAATCAAAGTTTTATCGAAAACTTTGCTCATCATTTTGTTGATCACTTACCACATGCTTTACTAAATGTTTAGGTTTTTTTAATGTTTTCAAAACAGAGATGCCTACATTTGTAAATTTGCATTCTATTTGGATTAGAGGGAACAACAATAAATACTAAATATAATAGAGAAGTAAATTACCTAGTAGAATAATGTGATAAATCCTATGAGGATGAAAGGAAATGTAGAATATGATCTGGAGAGGATCAGAAAGACAAGTAATTCTTTACCTAGGATACTTTTTAATGTAGGCTGACAGAGTTACAGGAAAAGTTGAAACTCTGCCTAATTTCGGAGTGTACTCCATACAAAAGGTGAGAAACTGAAGTCAACCGGCCCATATCACCAAGATGTGGCCTACAGAGGCCACCCCAAGCCAAGAGGAATAAGAGGAAACATTGTGCTTCATCGAACAATTGAATTACCATACTCTGTTTCCTTGTGTTCAAAAAGAAACACTGGTTCAGAACTCCCTTATAAAGCTTATTTAGAGTAGAGTTATGAAATAAAAAATGTGCTTTGAACTGAAATAATATTCACTTGTGAATAATCTTTGTGGTGGAGAGTATTTGGTCACAGGGCTACTCATGTGCTGTCCTCAGCCAGTCACCCAGGGAGCCTATTCTCCATCAGAAGTCTGGGTGTAGGGGCCTGGAGGGTAAAGTGCATCTCTGGAGAGGGAGCTGCCCTCCAGCACAGCCCAGGCACTTCAGTTCTCCACCTGCCTGGCAGCCTTCTTTTCACCACCCCCTGATGCCTGCCCAAACACAAATGAAGACGCCACTGTACTTGAAATATGTGAAAACAACATAGCTAATCCTGTATAATACAAGGTCAGGTTCTAATAAAGTTACTTCATTCTGCCAAGGCTATCAAAGAAAATTTTTCTTTGAATATATAATCAGTACTGATTCTCTGAAGAGTGTCCTAAAGATCAGTTTAAAGCATATTATGGCACTGTGCTAAAATGTAATAAAGAACTCAACAGCTCTTTCCTAACAGGAGATAATCTGAAAGGGATTGTACAGACATAACAAATCAATGAGTTTTTAAAAACATTATATTCAAGGGAAGAGATGGGTAAGCTTATGAATGTGAAGAAGTACATCTTCCACCCAGTAGAGACATTTTGCGGGGTGACCAAAACGTGATGTGGCTTATTCCCAGGCACAGTTCACACATAAGAACTTTGGGTTAGATAATTCCTCTATGTGAGGAGTAGCAATTGCATAAGGATCAGAGCATAAACTCCATTAGAGTTTATGCTGCCAGGGTATGTGCCCTAGCTCCAGCTGGTTTGTCACCTCGTCTCCTATGCCTCAACTGTAAAATGGGATAATAACAGCACCTCTCTCGCTATGTCATTCTGAGAGTAATTTACTGGAGAGAGAACAGAAATTCATGCCTGGTTTAGTGAGAATCCTCATTAGCAATGATAACAGTGCTGGAGGTGGCAGAGGAACAGCTTCATCATACACTTGCCTTCTTCTCTGCTCCACAGACAGTGGTGGAGGGCTCGGGCTCTGCAACAGACTGTCTTCAGATACAGATTCTGCCACCTAGAAGCTGTGTGACTTTAGCTTGCTACCTAACTCTGGGCCTCCATTCTCTCCTGTGTAAAATAAAGATCCCTATCCCATAGGGCTCTTATGGGTTAACCAATTAAGCAAAATAATTATGCTAAGTGTTTTGCCCAAAAACCAGTCCACAATAAACACGAATAAATATTATTAATAACTCCATCCTGCTGTCATAGGCTTTGATGTTTTCAAATTTATTGAAGTACAATGCTTCCTGGTTTTCTTTTGTGCTGTTTTTCCCCCATTCTATTGGGATCTTTTCTTCATATTTTAACAATGAGAACAAAGAGAGGATTTTTGTCAAGACCTGTCACTTTCTCCTGAAGTGTGACAATGAGCCCGAGTCCAACACGTGAACAACTGACCCTTTTGACAGAAACACTGGGACTGTATACTCCTGGGAGCTTCTCAGCTGCTGCTGTTCTTGGTTAGGATGAGCATCTTCTTGGTAATTGCCACTTAGTTCCAAGTCTTGTGAGAGATCTAAGACCCTGGAAGCCCCTCGGTTTATCATTTGTCTCTTGAATCTTTTCTCAATATGTCTTCCTCCATTATAAACTAGCATTTACTATTTGTTACAAACCATGCATGTACAATTATTACCAGCTTAATATAACAACCAAATATACCAGAAATCCATATTTCCCCAAAACTCTACCATCTCTAAAGAATCATAAGCACTAACTTCTTAAAAATACAGACTTCTGCATCCTACCCCAGAACTACTTAATTGAAATCCCTCTGATGGGGTATAAAATTTTACATTTTTAACAATATTCCCCAGATTTGGAAACAACTACATTATTTAATAATAACAAAGCAAATAGAATTTTATAGAAGAATTTACTCGTCAGGGTAGAGTTAGCACATTTGTCTAAATAATGGCAACTAAATTACATGATAAAAGATTATGTGATTTAGGCTTTCACATTTCTGTAAACACTCTTGATAAATAACTCTACTCCAAAAGTTTGACATCTAAACTATAAATCCTTACTGCATATAAAGTCCATTTTTTTGTTGTTGTTCTGGAAATGACTTATAATAAGCCATCTCTTTTCCTATGGCCTTTAATGTTCATGAAGACACTGAGGTTAACCAGGTTAAACAATTTACATATGCCAGGCAAACAGGGCCACAGTGCTTTACCTGACCTAATGAGAGCATCTCCTTTGCTGTCCAAAGTTGCATCTATTATAAAGCTGATGAGTTCTTAGGTTAAGGTTCATAGACTTTATACTGGACATGAAAGGAAGGAAAGAAGATAGAAGTAGGGGGTGAAGGAACAGAAAGCAGGTGAGGGGAGAAGAAACTAAAAATGTTAGACCACAAGTGAGAATAAGCTATTATTCTCTGTTACCTGTAGAAAATCTTGTTGCACAATTAAATGTTCTAAAGACTGCTGCAGGAAAAGAACTAGAGTCAAACATCTCATCTCACTAAAATGCCTTTCTCATACACTCCTCTATTTCTTTTACTATCATTACCAGTCTTCCCAGTACTTGTTTGAATCCTTTGTGCAATAGTTCTCAAAGTGTGGTCCCTGCACCAGCAACATTAGCAGCACTGAAAAATTTGTTGGAAATAAAATTATTACTAAACCTGAAACTTTGGACATAGGTTCCAGCAATGGATTTTAATGATCCCTACATGTGATTCTGGTGCAGCTGAAGTTTGAGAACTGCAGCTTCCTGTCATCTTGAACTCCTCACACCAGCCTTATTACCTGCCACATCAGAACACTCTTGACACACTGTTGCCTGCTCAAAAACTCAGCAAGCACTCCATCAATTCTTTTGATCCAGCTATCCCATTCCTCAGTTTATACCCAAAGGACTTGAAATCAATATACTACAGTAATGCAGCCATGTCAGTGTTTATAGCAACTCAATTCACAATAGCTAAACTATGGAACCAACCTATTGTGTCTTTCAATAGATGAATGGATAAAGAAAATGTGGTATATATATTCAATGGAATATTACTCAGCTTTAAAGAAGAATGAAATTATGGTATTTGCCAGTAAATAGATGGAGTTGGAGAACATCATGCTAAGCGAAATAAGCCAACCCCCCAAAACCAAAGTCCAAATGTTTTCTCTGATATGCAAATGCTAATTCACAATAAGGGGGGGACACTAGAAAAGAATAGAGTTACCTTAGATTAGGTAGAGGGAAGTGAAAGAGGGAGGAAAAGGAATGTGAAGATAGGAATGATAGTAGAATGAAACAGACATTATTACATTATGTATGTATGTGACTGCATGAACAATGTGATTCCACAACATATACACTCAGAAAAATGAGAAATTTTATCCCATCTAGGTATGATGTATAAAAGTGTATAAATGCATGCTATTATCATGTATAACTAATTTAAACAAATAATTTTTTAAATAAAATAAAAAATAAAGTAATGGCTGAATGCTTTACTGAGCATTCTAAAGCCCACTTAACTTTCCCATATTTACCTTGCCTCGCCACATTCTTTGTTCCATAAAAAACTATTTCCCTCAGTCAAGGATCTCCAGAGAAACAGAACCAATAGGGTGTTTATATTTATATAGAGATAAAGAGAATTTAAAGGAATTGGCTTATATGATTATGGAGCCAAGAGCTGTAGTCAGCAAGCTGGAGTGCTGATGTATACCAGGGGAGAACCAGGGGAGCCAGGGGGGTAAGCAGCAGTCTAAAAACCATCAAATTCAGGACCAAAAAATAGCTGCTGTTTCAGCGCAAACAAGAAGGCTGGAAGTCAAATACACCAGGTTAAGCAACCAGGCAGGAGTTCCCTTCTGCTCAGCCTTTTTGTTCAGGTCTACAATTGATTGGATGGGTCCCATCTACATTAGGGAGGGCGATTCACTTAGTCAATAATTCAAATGTTAATGTTATCCAGAAACACATACACACATACACTCTCTCTCTCTGTTTGGTCAATATATAGACTTCCTATGTCCCAATCAAGTTGACACATAAAATTAACTGTCATAATATCTAATCATTTGTGTGTGTGTATGTGTGTGTGTGTTATTTTCCCTGCCTGAGCCCTTTCTCAAAACAATGCCCTTCACCACTTTAAATTCCATCTGCCTTGAAGGCCAGCTCAAACCCATCTCCCCAATGAGGGCCTGGTGAAAAGATTAAAAACTCCTTTCTTTCTAGTTTTTCTTTAAAAATGTGTGTGTGTGTGTGTGTGTGTGTGTGTGTTGCATTATCTATAATCACCCTACTATGCTATAGCTTAATTTCTAACAATGGAATATATGAGTCAATTGTTTAATAATTGAAGGTTGATTAAATATATTATAAAGATTATTTTGTCATCACATAAAAATGTTTTAATACTTTTAAGAAAAAAGAGTAAGCAGTGGGCTAGGGTTGTGGCTCAGTGGTAGAGCACTTGCCTAGCACATGGGAGGCACTAGGTTCGATCCTAAGCACCACATAAAAAAATAAATAAATAAAGTTTAAAAAAGGAAAAGAGTATTTCAATGTTCAATTTTTGGCATAGTATTACATATCGTATAGTTTAATTCAAGATTTCACTTTCATTTAAAAGTACAACTAAATGTAGGCGAAAGACCATAAATACATATGTGCAAGTCAAATATTAATAGGTATGTTCTCTGAAATGCTGATACTATGTATAACTTTTTACTTTTCTCTCTATGACTTTGTTTTTTGTATTATTTCTTAAAAATGTATATTTATTACTTTATTTTGAAAACTCACTTTAATAATGAAAGAAGTACTGTCACCTAGTTTCACTTGTTAACACGAGTGTCTTGGCCCTTCTTCAAGGTTGCATTTTCACTATTGAAGTTCGTACAGAGAAAGATGGCCATTTCAGAGGCCTTGGAATTCCCGAGGGCCACCCAAATGCCGGGCGCAGCGTTGGCCAGTGTGAGGCTTCTCCCTGCAGTTTAATGAAATGTGGCAATGGGGGAACGTGCATAGAGAGTGGATCTACTGTTTAGTAAGTATGAAATCTTCAGGAAAGACAACAGCAGATTAATTTGCTCTCTAACAGGTGCTCCACTCCAACTGGTACTGAACTTGCCTGACCTAGTAACACAAACCTAGTTCATATTTAAAATGTTTTTATGTAGATTTGTAGATGAGTGAAGAACAGTCAAAGGCAACTAGAAGTAGAATCAGCACAGCACACCTCAATACTATTAAACAATGAAAATGAATCACTGTATCTCATTCCAAACACCATTGAAAATATAGCTTAAATTCATAATATTGAGAGTGGACAGAAACGTTAATCATAAAAAGCCTATATTCAGGACTTGTTTTTGTACTTAGGTTTGAGCTCCTTTAGAAGGACCTCCTCTAAGTGGGTGTTGTGGTTTAGATGTGAGTTTTCCCCCAGGTACTCATGTATCAGACAATGCAAGAAGGTTCAGAGGAGAAATTAGTGGGTTGTAAGAGTCTTAACCCAATCAGTGAATTAATCCCCTGGAGAGGGATTAACTGAAAGGTAACTGAAGTGGTAGGGTGTGGCTGGATTTTGCAAATTGTTTTCATAAACATAGAAATTTTCTTGAGTTGAAATAATGAAAGTAATGCCTTATAATTTTATAGCACTTTGGGGGGTAACAAAGCAGTTTCTTACATACTCTACTTCAAAACTGGGGCGTGGCTCTAGGGTATATATTTTTATCCGGAGATCGGAGTCTCTCTCTCTGCTTCCTGATCACCATGTGAGCTGCTTCCCTCTGCCACACTCTTCCTCCTTGATGTTCAGCCTCACCTCAAGCCCCAAGGAATAAGGCGGACTTCTATGGACTAAGACCTCTGAAACCATGAGCCCTCAAATAAATTTTCCTCCTCTACAGTTGTTCTGGTCAGGTCCCCTAGTCACAGGAGTGAAAAAAGCTGACTAAAACAGTGGGCAATAGCAAAGCTATACAATTTGGCTTCTGTACTATTTTAGTATGAAATTACACATAAATCTAGTAAGTGGGGGAAAAAGAGAAAGGAATTTGGCCTTACTAATAACTTCTTTTGTTGAGCACCTGCCCAATGCAAAAGTAGTTAAGAGGGGCTCTGGGAATATGCTATAGAAAGAAGAAAGCACACTTTCAATTCCTTACACTGTAGCTATGTATGCATTTCTTATATCATACATATATAAGAGAGAATTAAAGAAGTGATTTATCAAAATAAGCCCAGCTTGGTGGAGCACATCTGTAATCCCAGTGGCTCAGGAGGCTGAAGCAAGAGTTCTGCACATTCAAAGTCAGTCTCAGCAACTTAGCAAGTCCATAAGCAATTTAGTGAGAACCAGTCTCAAAATTTTAAAAATGAAATAAAAAGGGCTGGGGATGTGGCTCAGTGGTTAAACATTACTGGGTTCAATCACTGGAAGGAAGGAAGGAAGGAAGGAAGGAAGGAGGGAGGGAGGGAGGGAGGGAGAGAGAGAGAGAGAGAGAGAAAGAAAGAAAGAAAGAAAGAAAGAAAGAAAGAAAGAAAGAAAGAAGGAAGGAAAGAAGGAAGAGGGGGAGAAGGGGGAGGGGGGAGGGGGAGTGGGGAGAGGGGAGCGGGGAGAGGGGAGGGGGGAGGAGAGAGAGACTGATTTGTCAAAATGTTTCCCACAGAACACCTCAGGAGGTCTGATGCACTTCACTAGGAGCAGTGGCTCACTGCAGAGTGGCTGAGGAAGGAGGGTGGCTCTGGAGGACCAAGATGGAAGAGGGCATAATTTTTAAAGCAATAAGTGTATCTCTTATACTCCCTGAAAAATTCCCCTTCATTTTCTCACTAGAAAATGAACAGAGCATTGAACCCAGAGGTATTTCACCACTGAGTTACATACCCAGCCCTTTTTCTTGTTTATTTTGAGACATGGTCTCACTAAGCTGCTGAGAGCCTCACTGAGTTTCTGAGGCTCGCCTCAAACTTGAGAGCCTCCTGCCTCAACCTCCAGAGTCACTGGCATTCAGGCATGCACCACCTCACCTAGCTCACAATGAAATGTCTTAAAGAAAAACATACATAGTTTGACCAAGCTCATGGAAGTACTAGGGGATAAAACTTGAGGTTGGGGATACCATCCCCATAGAGCAATATCTTTACCATTATGATCATATCATTATTCTCTACAACTTTTAATGAAACTTTTCATTTGATTTGTAACTTATGCCCTCTAATTTTCTCTACAAATTAGAAGCACAGATGTCCCTCCATTTATCTGAAGGAATGTGGTTATTCTCCAGGTGATAGCACTAGACATTCTTGCTAATTTTAGTGTGATAATAAACAATAGTAATTAATGTGATAATAAGCAGGAACCTGAAAGGAGTGGCAATAAGCACATGGAAATAAATAAAGATGGAAATACAAAATTCATCCCAATTTCTCATTATTTCTATGGAAAGAGGGCTGGTTTAAATTTGAAAGCCACAAGTGTTTAACTTGGAATATATAGCACCAAGTATAGGTAGGTATTTAGAACTATTTGCAAATTGTTTTCATAAACATAGAAATTTTCTTGAGTTGAAATAATGAAGGTAATGCCTTATAATTTTACAGCACTTTGGGGGGTAACAAAGCAGTTTATTACATACATTGCTCCTCATTCAAACTCTCTAAATTATTCAAGCCGGTATCCCAATTCCAATTTAACAGTTGGAAAGATGAACCCCAGAGATTGTGAGTAAGCAACAGAATGTATGGGCACTCTGAAAGTAGTACCATGGGACTGAAACCCAGACCTTCCAGCTGCTGGGTGGATACTGTCCAGGATCTACATAGTACTAAGTGAACTTAAGAACAGCTAGTGACTTAATTGAGGTAACAAAAATGGTAAGCGCTCTTTATTTTTGGATATAATTTGTTTATCTGCTTTTAATTTAAAAAACAATGGTGACGTTATCTTCAGTTGACAGTTCGTGCTCTCTCTAAATTGGAAATTCCTTGGCTTATATACACATTGCCTGGGGATTTCATAAATCACTCTGTGGGTAAAAAGCTCTATCTCAGAGCCAAACATGAAAGCTTTAATTTGAATAACAAAAAGACTTTAACAATAATTTGGAATGAGAATGATACATCTAACAAGTTTCCTCACAAATTCTTAAAGTTTTTAGTATCAAAATTGTGACCAGTTTTGGGCCAGGCATGGTGGTGTACACCTGTAATCCCAGCTACCTGGGAGGCTGAGGCAAGTTCAAGGCCATCCTCAGCAATTTAGTAAAGCCCTAAGCAACTTAGAGAGATTCCACTTCAAAATTTTAAAAAATAAAATAAAAAGATTGGGGATGTAGCACAATCGTAAAGCAACTCTGAATTTAATCCCTAGTACTTTAAAAAAAAAAAAAACAACTGTGACCAGTTTTGGGAGCCTCTTGTTGATATAATCAAAAAAATATATCTACTCTATTAATTACTTTGTGGAACATTACTATAGAGTCAAATTAGCTCTTGTGTCTATTGAAGGATATGGAAATGACAACCCCCAATACAGTGTGGCCTGGGAAGAGGGAGAGAGGAAGAAGGCAGCACATTGATAACATTGATCCTTTCTCAATACATCCTTTCCCAGTGACAAGACAAACCCTGGGAAGGAAAAAAAAAACATCACCCAGTGACAAGACAATCCCTGGGGAGGAGAGATCCATCAAGTCTAAAATGACAGTCTCTGGGAAGAAGCCAAAGCATTGATCCTTACCCAAATAAATCCTTTCCCAGTGACAGTACAATAGACCCCGGAGGGAAAGAGATAAGCACTAAATGCTGATTCTGGACCCTCTCTCCTTGCCCAGTAAAAACAAACTTCAAATTCTCACAAACTGTTTCCTGAGTGCCCAAATTGATATGTTCTGATAAAGTCTTCAATGGTTAAGTCATCTCCCAGTGTGTAACCTGTATAAAACCAGACTTCCCCTGTAATCGGGCCATTTTCTACTCAGAAAGTGAGCTCTCTGATGCCTGACTCCCCTGCTGAGCAAAGGCTTGGTGGAATTCCTGAGATCTGCACCTGTCCTGGTCACTTTTGTGCTTACAACTATGGTACAACACTGCAATTACAGATCCCTAACCTTAAAACAGGTGAATTTTATGCTAAGTAAATTATACCTCAATGTAGTTATTTAAAAAAATTAAGGCTGCCATTCATAGATATTCAACTCCAATAGTGGCAGCAGTTCAAAGAATATTATTCCTTCTGATAATTTTTGTAATTCTTCTGTAATCTCAATAAGAATTCTTCCTTTCAAGGAAAAGAAAGTGTGTGCTTTGTAATATATTTTTCAATAGTGCTTAAGAAGTTTTTTTCTATCCTTGCCCTAGTCCCAGGCTCTTAGTTGTCTATGGCTCTAAGGAAAATTATTAGACAGCTCACAGCTAAAACCCAATCGTTTCCTGAAAAATAGTGACACACATGAAGAAATATATTTTAAATGTTCAAGAGGTGACTCCCAACCCAGAAGCATAAATTTCACGGTATTTGGATCAATTTTAAAGGCAAAAATCTCAAAGCTGGTCAAAGTGTCTTAACAATGTAAAATGTTCCTTCTAATTTTGTTTCTCACTGCTGGGACTAGGAGATGCTGTTTTGGTACATAGGGCAAAGTCATGCTCTAAGTTATGCTCCAGCATCATGGAATGGAAGGTTTTCAGGATGCAGATCCTTGGTTATGTCTTAAAAGCCATGCACTCCTGCTCCAAATTCATCAGCACACAGATACAGCTGTGTTCTAATGCAATTTTTCAAAGGAGAGAAGAAGAGTTCATGGCAGGCCTTCATGCTCCTGGAATTAACTCTGATGGAACACAGAAACAGAAAACTATTTCTATTGTTAGTAGCCAAGGTTTTTTTGTTTGTTTTTTGTTTTGTTATAAATTTATTTAGTTATAACTTAGTCCTATATATTCATGTGTTTGGTACATATCTTTAAGCAAGTTTTACTTCATTTAACTTGCATTCTTTCATTTCACTTTAGATTGACAAAAATTGGGCCAGGCACA